ATTGTTGCTGTTGATGTTGCTGCTGTTGCTGTTGATGGTGATTATGATGGTGATGATGATGATGCATATGATGATTGTGGTTGCTTGCAGTCGTTGTTGCCACACTAACAACGTCATTTGATGTAGCAATTGCGGTCGATGAGGTTAAATTTGTAGTGCCATTGCCACCGGCCATCATCACCGTTATGCTACTACCACCAGTTGTTGTAACACCAACGCCACCCATGCTTTCAGTTACCTTTAGTATGCCCAAGGGTGTTGTAGCCGTTGCCGTTGTAGTGCCACTCGTGCTGAGACTAGTGCCACTGATATGAGCACTTATACCACTCGGCACACTCGACATTACAGCGCCCGAGCGTAATAGTTCTTCGTTAGGTATGGAAAAATGACGATAGGACATGTAGTCAGGTGGCATCGTCGCTTGACGTTTTGCATTCTCAATACGTTGCTTTTTTAATTTCACATAACTGAGCACCGATATCATTACGATAAATACAATTATACCCAAACAACAGCCAACAATTAAACCGAGACGGCGAGTGAGTATAGAATGTATAAAACCATTACTAGCCAGACCGTTCTCGTCCGTTATTAGGCTGGGTGTAGAATCAAGCGTTTGAACATCGGTGCAAGTGGAAAAGCGGGAATTTTTCAAAACTTCCTGTAACGCGTTGTCGGTGTCAACGGTGTTCTCGATTAACGCCTGCTGTTGTTGGGGCTGTGCCAACAATGTATGCTCGCTAAAGGATACGTCGGTGATGCCGTATGCATTTGCCATCCGGCTGTACGGCGACTGATAAGATGCCGCCTGCCTATCATAGGTAGTTGGTTGGTAGTTGGTTGACGATGGTAATACAATTGCTTGCGACATTACGTCATCGCGTCCCATAGAGAGGAATGAATCGTTAAAATGTATCCTTTGCAAGGCATTCGCTACAGGCTCTGAAAGCCAATTACCGGTGCCGATTACACATATATGATAGCGTGTGTTTGGACTGAGTTTTGTTAGTTTGGCCGAATTCGCTGAGCCATTTAAACGTTTACCGCGTATCTATACAAACAAATAAATAAACGAGCATTACACAAAACATATATGTGTGTGTGTATTTAAAATAAGGAAGCATTTCACATCGAAAATCTTTACATGAATACTATGAGAGTACACCCACGAAGATTCATATGCACACACATACACATACACACACACACACACACACACACACACACACACACACACACACACACACACACACACACACACACACACACA